CACTATGCTTTCATTATGTTCAATTTGTAACAATGAAATTGGGGGTCACCACAACATGAGGGACTGTATGAAAGGGTCGCGGCATTAGGAAGGTTGAGAACCGCTGAGGTAGAGGAGCTCACCCAGGATCAGGACACACCAGTGGCTGGGCCGGGCCGGCAGGAGCTGCCCGCGGGCGCAGCCGCGAATTGGGCAGAAGAGAGCGGTGGCCCATCTCAGCCAGCCCTCCTGTGGAAGGAGCGCCCATCTGCTCCTGCAGCCTCCATGGTGCTCCATCTGCAGCGGAGGAGGAATGGGGGGGCGGGGGCGGCGAGGAGGGATGCGGTTTGGCTTTGAACCGAAAAGGGTCTTGATGCTCTCTGCTCACGCGAGTGGCCCCGGTGAGACAGGACACCTGGTTTCAGAGACACCTGGCCGGGACTCTGGAGGGGACAGTGAGTGATGTGACCCCTGCCCTGGAACTCTGCATGGTGTCTCTCCCTGTGCTTCCGCCCCACCCCCAACATTAACCTCTTTCCTAAAGGCAGTGGGTCTCAACCCTCCTAATGCCGCAACCCTTTCATACAGTTCCTCATGTTGTGGTGACCCTCAACCATAAAATTATTGTCGTTGCTACTTCATAACTGTAATTTTGCTACTGTTATGAATCGTCATGTAAATATCTGATATGCAGGATGTATTTTCATTGTTAGAAATTGAAGATAATTAAAGCACAGTGATTAATCACAAAAACAATATGTAATTATAATATACTTTATTGATTTTTTACAGAGAGGAAGGGAGAGGGATAGAGAGTTAGAAACATTGATCAGCTGCCTCCTGCACGCCTCCCACTGGGGATGTGCCCGCAACCAAGGTACATGCCCTTGACCGGAATCGAACCTGGGACCCTTCAGTCTGCAGGCCGACACTCTATCCACTGAGCCAAACCGGTTAGGGCACAATATGTAATTATAGATGTGTTTTCCGAGGGTCTTAGGCAACCCCTGTGAAAGGGTCGTTCGACCCCCAAAGGGGTCGCGACCCGCAGGCTGAGAACCGCTGCCTTAGGTGTTGGGATGGACAAGGTGACTCTATAATGGCTCGTGCAGTCGTTCATTTTCTCCCTGTTGAACGTCTCCCTCCTGTCAACGTCCAGGGTGGAGGCCATGTATGGGCTTTGGGGTCAGGGGTCAATTCAGTCCTGCCTCCGCCATTCAGTAAGTGGTTACCTAGACGAAGGAACTTGCTCACCCATGTTCGTTTCCTCATTTGGCAAATGGGGAGAGTAATAATGGTGCTACTTCATGTGGTTGTGCGGATTCCAGTGAGATAATGTCCACAAACTCTGAGCTACTTAGTTGTTGTTGTTAATCCTCACCTGAGGATATTTTTTCCACTGATTTTGTTTTGTTTTTAGAGAGGGTGGAAGGGAGGGAAGAAGGAGGAGAGAGAGAGAGAAACATCGATTGGTTGCCTCTCATACGCACCCTGACTGGGACTGGGGATCAAACCTGCAACCCTGGTACATGCCCTTGACTGGGAATCGAACCCGCAACCGTTCGGTTCATGGGCCGATGCTCTAACCATCTAGCCACACTGACCAGGGCCACAGTCTCCTCGCTTCTTGCCTTACCTGGTGGCCGCTAGATTCTAATGCCATACAGGCACTGGGCGCTCCAGGGCAAGGCTTGGCAAACCGTGGCTCTTGGCCAAAGCCGGCCTGTTTTAGTGTGGCCCATGAGCTAAGAATGTTTTTTGCAGCTTTAAGTGGCTGGGGAAAATTCCACAGAAGACACTAATACTCGTGACACTTGAAAACTGTACAACGTTCAAATGTTAGTGCCCATGAGCACAGCTGACTGGACTTCCATCCGTCTGTGGGCACTTGCCCCCC